GCATAGATTCTTCAATAGTTAATGTTCTTTTATTATAAACTCTAAATGCTTTACTAGTAAGGGAATAACCGAGAAATATACCTTCATCCGATTTTTCATCGAACTTACCAAGATTGTCTTTGTCATTGTTGAGGACAAAGCACTTGCATCCAAAGATATGAAAGAAAGCAATGTTTGGTTTCCTCCCTTTGAAGAGTTCATAAGGGGTCTTCTTAAGAATTAGTCTAATGTTAACACGGTTACTTACAAACTATGTCGTGCTTACCGCATCCGCCCAAAAATACTTAGGTAGATTTGAGTCGCTAAGCATTGTTCTTGCAAGTTCCACTAATGACCGATTCTTCCTTTCTGCAACACCATTTTGTTGAGGAGTTCTTGGTGCCGAGAAGTTGTGTGAGATTCCATGTTCTTCACAAAATTCTTCGAATAAAGTATTTTGGAATTCTCCACCGTGATCGCTTCTAATGGAGGCTATTGTAAGAGACTTCTCATTTTGGATTTGTTTGGCAAAATTCTTAAATGCTTTAAAAGTGTCATTTTTCTGCACTAAAAAGTAAGTCCAACAAAATCTAGAATAATCATCTACAATTAATAATGCATAGAAATTACCTCTGAAACTTTTTGTTCTCGATGGACCAAAAAGATCCATATGCAACAATTGTAGTGGCCTTGTTGTGGACACCACATTTTTGGATATGAAAGTTGATTTAGTTTGTTTCCCCTTTTGACATGCGCCACACAATCTATCTTTGACGAATTTGATCTTCAGTAATCCAATCACCTAATCATGTTTAATTAATTTGTTCAAGTGCTCCATGTGAATGTGAGCGATTCTTTTATGCCATAGCCATGACTCGTTGTTGTTCACCATAAGAGATTTAACCTTCAAAGATAAATTGTCAAGAGAAATCATAAAAATATTATTGATTCTATTACCTTTTAACATAACCTCATGAGTGACTTCGTCTTCTATCAAACATTCATCTTTGTTGAACTTGATTTTGAATCCTTTGTCACAAAGTTGGCTAATACTAAGAAGATTGTGCTTGAGCCCTTCGACATAAAGTACATCTTCTATTGTTGTACAAGGTAGTGAACCAATAATGCCTATACCAAGAATCTTGCCTTTATTATTATCACCATAAGTAACATAACCCTTGACTTTAAGCGTTAGTTGTGAAAATTTGTTTATATCTCCCGTCATATGCCTTGAACACCCACTATCAAGATACCAATGATTTCCGGAGGTCTTCAAGCATACCTCATTTTTTTCGTCATCGGAGTGGTGTGAAGCCATTAGAGCCATATTTGCACATTCATCGCTTTCCGATTCCGATGAGGAACTTATCTCATTATCTTCCCAAGCAATATACGCCTTCTTGTTCTTGAAGTCCTTCTTGCCTTTAAATCCTCCTTTCTTTGGAAGCTTTGGACAATCTGGTTTTATGTGGCCTTACTTTCCACATTCATAGCATGTAACATCTTGCATTGATGTGGATGCCTCCCTTTTTCTGAAATGTCTATTCTTTTTATTATTAAGGGATTTATCATTTTTATTGAAAAACTTACCAAGTCTTTTTACAAGGAGCATGAACTGTTCATCTTCCTCCAATGCGTCATCATTTTTCTTTTCTTTTGACTCCACTTTCAAGGCAATTCCTTTGGATTTCTTTTCTAGATTTTCATGTTTCTCAAGCCTTCCAAGTTCTAACTCATGTTCTTGAAGTTTGCCAAAAAGTGATGCAGACGTCATTGTTGAAAGACTTTTCTTCTCCGAAGTTGTCGTCACTTTTGGTTGCCATTTCCTGGTTAAGGATCTAAGAATTTTAAGATTCAAATCATCGTTAGTAAAGGTCTTACCGAGAGTAATTAAGTGATTTGTCAAGTGAACAAATCTTTTATGTAATGCCACAATGGATTCTTCGGGCAGCATTCTAAACATTTCATATTCTTGACTTAGTGTGTTCAATCTGGATCTCTTTACTTCGGCGGTGCCTTCATGTGTTTCCACTAAGGTGTCCCATATTTCTTTTGCCGACTTGCATTGAGAGATACAGAAGAACTCATCCATACTCAAGGCACTTTGTAATATGTTGATAGCCTTTTTCTCATTAAGAATCCTTTTCTTGTCATCTACATCGTATGATGATTTAACCTTTGGAGTTCCTACACCATTGACGACACTTGTCGGTTCATGAGGACCATTTTCAACAGTTTCCCATATTCCTTCTCTTTGGGCTTCTAGATGTGCCTTCATGAGAATTTTCCAAAAATCAAAATATTCTCCAGAAAACAGTGGGGGTTTGTTACTACTTCCACCGTCTTTGAAAACCGGGTTGGTGCTAGCGGAAGCCATTCTGGATCGATAGGAACAGGTTACCTTAACCTGCTCTGATGTCAATTGTAAGTTATTTGTATACCTAAGAGGGGGTGAATTAGGTTCTTAGACACTTTTTCTGGTTTTTGGTGATTTTTGGATTTTACTTTCCTAAATGCTTCTAGGTGATGAAAGATGGTAAATGCGGAAAGTAAAGAACACAACGATGTATGATGGTTCCCCTCACAGTCCGAGAGTACTCCACTCCCCTTTCAACATGAAAGAGTATTTTACTATCAATGTTAGATTTCCTAAGACAATTCTAACAACCAAGAACACCCTTCTTGGATTTACACAATTTTAAAGTCCTACCGAGAATGAATATCTCACACAAGGACCTCTTGTATTCACAATCCGGATAACAAGGAAAATCCTACACACTTATCTTTAACAATCCTAAAAAATAAGTTGTAGTGAATCTGAATTTTTGTATAAGTAACAATTTGAATGTTTATCAATACGAATACTGATCTTCTTCTTGAAACAAATAATACTCAGATATAATATACAAGTGTTCTTTTTGTGAAAGAAAGCTGTGAAGATGTGAAAGTTAATTTCAATGGCTTCTTTCAAAAGTCTGGTTTGAACACTTTTATGAAAATTCAAACGGATGAAGAAAAAGAGTATTTTTGAAATTTGTTTCTTGAAGGATGTTTTGATTTTGAAAAAGAATTCAATTTATAGGAGTGAAAAACCTTTCCAAAAAGGTGTGATTTTGGAACAGCAAAAATAGCCAGTAAGAAATCTTATAACAATGCAATCTTTCATGAGAGGCTGCTATTTTTGCTCACTGGTACAGTGTTAATCGGTTAACCAAATAGGTTAATCGGTTAACACCTTTTCAACGTTTAAAAATATTTGAATTTTACATGTGTTAATCGGTTAACCCTATAGGTTAATCAGTTAACACTGTTAAAACGTCCCAAAAACATAATTTTGAAATGTGTTAATCGGTTAACCCATATGGTTAATCGATTAACACTGAAGGTTTTTCCAAAAATACTTAATTTAAAAATATAGAGTATTTTAAAATGTTTTGAAAAAACTTAGTGATAGTGGTGTAGTGAAATGTGATTGAAAGAACACTTGTATAAAATATTTCTAAGTAAAATATGTTTATACCGTTTCTTGTATCATCAACACCGCTTGAAGCTTGAGGACGAAGCTTGATCCATAACGCCATATGCGACTTTCTTGATCTTGATAATTGATTCTTGTTGATTGCTTGCGCCTCTTGCTTTTTGTGAAGTATTCAGAAAAAATGTGCTTCTGGTTTTATCTTCAGTATATATACCCCCACGGGTATATTGTATAAGCATCTTTAATACATATACCCCCACGAGTATATAGCATAAGTACCTTGCGTGCCAAGCTTGTATGAGTTGTCTTCATCAAAACACAAAAGCCTTGAAACTTGATTCTACATAAACCTTTCCCATAACGTTTTCTAGCTCATAAAATATCAAAACTTCATGACATTTGTTAAAACTAATAAAACTTCTCAAAACTATCAATTATCAATTATAAAAATTCACTTAATTGGCAATTTACTAACATATAACATGTAAAAATGTATTGAACTGACGACTAATCAACTTGTCTTACTTCCTTATGGACTATCCTTTTTTAGACCCCGTATGATTATTTTAGTACAATGCTTAATTTCAATCCTACAAAGTTTCCCACTCATTTATTTCTTGCTCTACTATTAGTTATTTTATTTTATTTTTTTCAAAATTTGATATCAAGTCTTGCAATCCACTAATAATTAGTGGATCAATTTTTCCGTCCACCAGTGAAATTCCACCATCTACTAGCAGTAGACTCATTTAAAGACCAATTAAAGTTGTATTATCTGGTACACCATAAGATATATCTATTTACGTGTTAGCCCTCTTAGCACTAAAATAATATTTAAGTGAATATAAAATTTAGAAGAGAAAAATAATAAGTAAAGAATGTGATTTTATTAGATTTCTTGTGTGTTTTTAAATGACCACAAGTCTTCTTTTTATATTGAAACGTTTAACCAAGAAATGAAGGATTTTTTACCAGATCCATGTCATAATCAAATAGGCTACATCCATAATAGACAATGACTTAGAAAAATTGCAAAATTTCCGCTGGAATTAAAATCATTGATTAGAAGGCTTTTTTAATCGATCATTGAGTGAGTTTGTCCCATAGTCAATTACATAAGTATCATAGTTAGTGTAGTAGTTTTAGGATAATGTCTATTACCTTTTGCAATCATCAAATGAAATAGTTGATATGAAAACTTGTTATCTATGTAGATAAACCTTAAGCAGTATCATTGAAATTCCCTCTATATGCTATCAACATTGTATTTTCCCATTAATTACAAATTCCACACATTTTCTTTCTCAACATATAGTAACCCTTTTAACATCACATTTCCTGCTCATTTTCCTTGAGCTTTTGTGCATAGAGCTTCTTTGCCTCATTATCCTTACAAGCTTCCCTTGTCCTGTTATCTGATTCCATTGCCACATGTCCTTATCTTTGTTGATTCAACCCTTATTCTCTATTCATTTTCATCTCAAGGGTATCATTTCTCTAGGTACAACTAGTTTCTGAACACTATATACCATTATTATTATTACTATCTTAACAAATCAAACACTGTTAATGAAACTGGAGGAATTATGACATTCATCTCCTTGGAAGGACTCTTGAGCTGACTTTGTTGTGGTGTTATCTGCATACAAAACAACCATAATTAGATATTAGATACATGATGACACTAGTCTTCTTATTTATGTAACAAGTTCATAACAAAGAAACACATGATGAACCTTTTTTGGATTTAAGAAGCTATTCTCATCTAATGCATTTTTAGATGTGAGTACAGTCTTTTTCGACGCAGTTTGAATCTTACTCCCAAATCCCTCAAGAGAAATCTTGAGCTTCACTTGATTGTTCCCTATGTTTGCAACCTGAAGAATCAAATACATAAACTCTTATTATATATTATCCCACAAGTGTCTGTATCGTGTGTCCGTGTCTGTCTTTTTAGATGTGTCAGTGCTTCAGAGAATTGCAGATTAAAGGTTAATAGTGTATGTATGTGTTACCTTTATTTTTAAGTAAGTGTTATTATTTTGAGGATTATGGCAAAGAATTGCAGACGCAGCCAGTGAGTTGGGATCAGTTGTAAGAAGTTGTGAGTTGAGAAATGTTGCTCCATTTGACTCTCTAAACATATATTGCACCCAATAGCTAGGAGTTCCATAAGCTTTATTGCTGTTAAAAACAATTGCATCTGGATTCCAACTACAAAAGTCCACATCTCAATGTTGCTATCATGAATGAATGAATTTAACATGGCACTTATTCTACCAATTTAAGAGGAAATAGAAATACATACTTTCTGTCATTTGCATTTACAAAAAGCGGTGCATAGCTTGCCATTACAACATGATCACTGCATCAAAAACGGAAAATTTCAATGGTGAGTATGAAATAGTACATAATTTTGCCGGTAGAACTGACCGAACATGAATCCTGACTATACTGTCAAAAAGACTTTCGATACAATGATCCAATACACTAGAATCCGCTCTCGCTCTTCCACTAATAAAACTTCAATAAGATCTTGCATATTCCAATGATTAATATAAAGCTGCAGACTGACCTGTTTGTCTCTAATCCAATAAGGAATCCAGCTTCAGACACAGCTCCCAAAAGGTTTCCATGCATAGCTTGTCGTCCAATTAGAGCATACTCACTCACAAAAGCCTACAAGACATTCCAAATTTCCAATAACTTAAGGCTTTAACTGAAGTAGCAAAATTCTTACACAAGAATATAACAAACATTTTGATACAAAAAGAAGAAAGTTACATGAGAATTAATACAAAACCTTTGGTCCATTGCGCGGTGTCTTATCAAAAACATGAGCATTATTAAACATATGTTGAGCATCACGAGGATAAGTCTGGTAAGAAAACAAGAGCCAAAATTGGAAACCAAATCATAAACATGTTGTTTATCAAAGAAAATGAAACTTAGGTTATGGATATTTACATGATAATCATACAAATCAGCCGGATGATCTAATGGCTTGAGAGAAGCATCGCAATTTGAAATGATTTGAATATCTGGATAAGCACGCCGTATTGCATTGTAGAAGGCTAGATAATTTCCTAATCAACAAAACAAAGTTTATTCAAAAAATTACATAGTGTACGCAAGTAAGAGGTAAAGAGAAAGCATATACCATGGTAATTTCTTTTGCCACAATCTTCATTTCCAACACCAACATATTTTAGGTTAAAAGGTTGAGGATGTCCCATAGATGCTCTAAGGGATCCCCATTTTGAAGTAGATTTTCCTCTAGCAAACTCAATGCCATCAAGTGCTTCCTACAAATTATAGTAACATTGTTTCAAAAAGAACATAAAAAGCAACATCAAATGTGAGTAATACATAGAAGAGTAATAAAATATACTTGCACAAAAGGTGCAATGACACTTGTATCAATTTCATCAGTATGGCTTATACCTGTATACAAAAGTTAAACAATGAACCTTATATTATAGAAATTGTGACCGAAAAACTATAGTTTATAGCGATAAATGTGAAGTATACCGTTGTTGAAGACCCACACCGGTGCTGCACCAATGTCCTCTGCTAGCTGCAAAAGAAAAATGGTTTGTTTATCATGATTGAATCTCATAAGAGAAACAAAAATGTGAATAAATAGAAGACACCTACTTGAAGACCCTCAAAATAACCAAGTGCATCATCTGTCCAATATTTCCAAACATCACCAAAGTGTCCAGGTCTTTGTTCCCATGGTCCAACACTATCTTTCCACCTAAATGCATTTCTTAATGTTTGTCCTTCAATAAAACAACCACCTCTTGCAAAACAACAAATTGCATTATTGGATTTTTGAAATTAACCGTTTAATAGTAGTTAAACAATTGAAGTCTACACAACAAGCCCGTCTAGCTCAGTTGGTAGAGCGCAAGGCTCTTAACCTTGTGGTCGTGGGTTCGAGCCCCACGGTGGGCGATTTGTTTTTTTGCCAAAATAAAATATTCTCTTCATTTTCATGCTATGCAAATGTACCTGGAAATCTTAGAAAAGCTGGTTTCAACTGTATCAGCATGTCTACCAAGTCACTTCTGAAACCATGTCCCTATACCAACATAAATTTGGAAATTTATGTCATTGATACGAGATTATAATTGTATGTTGATATCTTGTGTTCGTGTCTACGTGAAGATTTATGTCATTGATACGAGATTATAATTGTATGTTGATATCTAATGTTCGTGTTTATGTGAGAGTTTCTAGTTATAGACCTTAAATGTGTCAACGGGCATGGCAGATATTTGATCCAACCATATCCTCCCTTTTTGAGTTGTTGTTAATTCAAGAGTTGAATTAGGACTTGATGCAGTTGCTACTAACATTGTTTCCATCCTTTTCCAATTCGAAACTTCTGACTTAGAACCTCTGCAACATCAATTATTTCTATAATCATCATTTTGAAATACTCTCTGAACTTCATTACAAGAAAAAATTTACTTTTTAATTTTACTGAATAATTAATGTATTTAGATTAAATATGAACGTCGCGCTCACTTGACATTGGTAGAAGCCAATATTCTTCCACCTTTTGCTTTTCTGAATGATACCATTATATTTAGTGCTCCAGTTGAACGAACAAAAAACACTACTTTGTATTTCTTCCCTTTCACGATATTCTGAAATAACATTCCATCATCAATTAAGAAATTTGTATTAGTATTAATGTTTACGTGTGTCAATGTGTCAGTGTCAATTTCGTCTTTAGTTCAAACTTTGATTAGAGTATGAATATGTTTTTCTTTTGTTATTCTCACCATGCCCCAAAAACCTGGGTTAGATATTCCAACACCATGAGGACACTTATCACACAGCACATCAATTCTCAAAGCAACCTTATTGTGTTCAAAACAAGAATTAAGCTCAGTTTGTACTAAAACTGATGATTCTGTTCCAACTATGGTCCAAGGATCAATATTTGATAAAACCCGCCTTCCCCCGGCTTCAAATCCTGAAACACAAAATTCATATTTAAACACTAATCAACACGACGGTAAACACAGTTAGTGTAATTTATCGTTACTTGCTCTCCAAGAATAACAACTACTAGAGAAAATCGAAATTAATAACCTCTATTGTTTACAAGTTCCGCCCATAATCCTCCCGTACCAGCATGATTAATCTCCTGTAAAATAAATAAAAAATTCGAAAACTTATTAACAAGAAAATCAATTAATTAAAATGTTATTATTATTAGCGCCATAATAATTTTCTACCTCAAAAAAAATTCCAAAAAGTGTGTTGGGAATAGGCCTTCCAGATCCACGAGAAGCATTTACAACTAGAGTTGAAATTTGGTCAGCAGCATTACATTGAAATGCAACAACACAAATGAGGCAGATCCTAAGAAAACTGCAAGAAGCTTTTGGGAAAGTCATTTGTATATTTTTGTCTTATGAGATTCAATTCAACACCAAGTTAGTATTGATTTAACAATGTGTTGTTTTTTGCTTGTGTTTATATGATACACTTTTGGTGATAATTAGTGACACAGAGTATATGAGGCTATAAATTAGCAAAGACCCGAGTCAGTAGTAGGATTGAGCGAGGTAGAGTTTGCGTAGCTTGTGTTACGGTGCTGCTATTCTCTTTCATTTTTTAACTAATAAATTACAAAATAAAAAATTCTTACAACACATTTTTACATATTCCTTTAACTTGTTTTTCTAGTTAGAAAATCGAACCGAACTAAAAAGTCACTCAAACTAAATCAAACCATTTCAATTTATTCATAAAAAAATAAAAATAAAATTATTGATTTGATAAGTCTTTTTTGAATTTTGAATTGTACTGAACGGTTAGAAATTTAATTTTTTCAAACCAGACTACTTTTTGAATTCTTTAAAATAAAAATTTTAAATTTATTTTTATCACTTTTCAATTTCGTTTTGATTCGGTTTTAATTTGTCATTTAGTTTGGTTCTAAAATTATTTAGACAACATGGTTTGATTTGTTGTATAATCTTGCTAAGCTTTGTTAGTTAGATGTTGAGCCTACTTAGTTAGTTGGTTTTGTGTTAGTTACATCATTAACTGTTCTACAAGTAATGATCACAACTTATCTGTATAAATAGCAGCTATTCCATTGAATATGAATGAGAATTAACATTTTGATCCAACACATTTCACTAACCAAACATAAATATTCAGTAATTTTAACTTCGGTTTGGTTAGGCGGTTTTTTCTAGTGGTGCTACTAGTACCTCATAAATTGACCATTTTCTGAAAAAATTGTATAGATTGACTTTTTTTTTCAGTAACAAAAATGTACTGACTTTTCAAAAAACATGAAAAATTAACCAATATGTCAAAAAAATGTATATTTTAAAAGAGTGTTCCTAGAGTTTCTCTTCAAAAAAACTATTTTTGTTTCAAATTTCAAGTGAAGAGGCTATTGCACTAAAATAGAAGATACTCATTGAAATGCATAAAGTTAAACTTAAACCAAACTAGATAATTATTATTTACACCGTGAGCACTGTTAAATTACATTACAAAGTAGATTAGCAAATAAGCTTTTTTCTGGTTAATTGCAACAGTTGCATATTAACCAATTCCATCCCCTTTATTTTATTTCTGCCATCACTTTAAATAGAAGATCTTGTGGAAGAATCACTCTCTGGCATCATCAGCTTATTGGTTTCTTTCAACAAATCAAGTAATGTGAATGAATGCGGCGGAACTATCACATTCATGTCCTTCCCAACATTTTGAAGTAGACTCTGGATTGGAACCACCTGCATCAAGATTAAATAACAAAAGCATAAGCTAATTTGAAATGGTTTCGGAAAGTGTTTACCGAACATGCTCGAATAAGTTGGCTCAATTGTAAATGACGCGTTTGGAAAGATTGAAGCTTGAGGTACCTTTTTTGGCTGCGAGAAGGAATTTTCATCCATTACATTTGCAGATGTAAGAACGCTTTTTGTTGATCCAGATGACTGCAATGAATTTGGGTCCAATCCATTGATAGAAATCTTGAGATTCACGGCACTGGCACCGTAGTTCACAGCCTGCGAAATTATATCGTTTCAAGGCGATGAATCGATGTTAGTGCTAACTAAAGTATGTAACATGACTCAGAAGTGTGTAACTGATGTAAAGATGTTTTCGTCGTTACCTTTATTCGTATGTAACTTTTCTTATCAACAGAATTTTGCCAAGTAATCGCTGATGCAATTAGTGTTTTCGAGGAATTCGTTTGAAGAGATGAATTCAGAAGTGTTGCTCCATTTGACTCCGAGAAAAATAACTGCATCCAGTAGCTAGGAGTTCCGTAGAGCTGAAAAGAGTTGAATACAATTGCATCGGGGTTCCACCTGATGAAAAAAGAGAGTAAATCAAGGTACATTTTACTTCTTGCTTAATAGAAATTTCCCGGTAAAACGCGGCGAAATTACCTCCTATCATTGGCATTTACGAAAAGGGGAGCATAGCTAGCCATATCGATAATGTCACTGCGCCAAAAGAAAATGAAAACGATGAGTACTGTATTTAGTGAACTAGATGAATATCGCATGCTGATTTAATCAGCATTACGATCTGAAGCCAGCGGACAAATGGACCGTCTTCCTATTAAATGCATTATGAACATCGGTAAACCTGTTCTTTTCCAGTCCAATGAGGAATCCAGCTTCAGCTAGGGCTGCCAAAAGACTTCCTTGCCCGGCATCCTTTCCCGTCACCGCATACTCACTTACAAATGCCTGTAAAGTGTTCGACCAGAATGAGCACAAAAGCAAATGCCAATAAACGATCAAAATAGAGGGGTGTTCGAGAGAGTTCGTAAAACCTTTGGACCACTTCGTGTTACTCGGTTAAATACTGTAGATCTAGAAAACATGTCATCTGCGCCAGTATAAATCTAGTAACAAAAAAACAGTAAGATACTACACGTGAATGAATGTATGTGTCTATATCTGAATCGAAAAACTGTGCTGAGTTATATTACATGATAATCATAAAGATCAGCAGGGTGATCTAGAGGAGTCGCAGAAGCGTCGCAGTTCGAGATGATTTTAATATCAGGATAAGCTTGCCTTATTGCACTATAGAACCTCAGGTAGTTTCCTGGTCATTCAAAAAGATGTAACAGAAAAAGAAGTGGCATTGCATTAGAAATCCGCACTCATTTCGTATTAATATTAAATTGAACAATAGTTTTTGCGAGACATGTTGGGATAAATAATAAAAACATGCATACCACGATAGTTCTTTTTTCCACAATCCTCATTTCCAACCGCAACATATTTTAGGTTAAATGGTTCCGGATGTCCCATAGCAGCTCTAACAGAACCCCATTTTGAAGTCGGGTCGCCTCTCGCAAACTCAAGTCCGTCAAGGGCTTCCTGAAATCAAGATATCAAGATTCTCAGGCTGACTTTCTCTAATAGAAAAAGATAAAGTAATGAAGAGAAAAAAAAGCGAGATAACGTACTTGCACAAAAGGTAAAACGGCGGACGTATCAACTTCATCAGTATGGCTTACACCTACGACGATATATCTCAATTAGAAAACAAACACGAAAGTACGACTTCACCTTGTTAGCAAATAGAGATAAACAAAGAAATACCATTATTGAATACCCATATTGGTAAAGCGCCCAAGTCTTCTGATAGCTGCTCAACAACAACAACAATAGTATATATTACTTTCCTTGCATAGCACAAACCGAAAACATTTTAATTACAATATATACGAACATCATAGTCGCCTAAATCAAAATTTGAAAAAGGCACTTACTTGGAGAAACTCAAAATAGCCAATTCCATCATCAGTCCAGTACTTCCATACATCACCGAAGTGCCCTGGTCTCTCCTCCCAAGGTCCAATGGAAGCTTTCCATCGAAATGCATTTCTTAAATATTCGCCTTCGACAAAACAACCACCTGATGAATGTAATGTAAATCAGCATTGCAAAAAGTTATTCGATCGGTAATTAGATCGCTTATACACAAATGAGAAGAGTGAACTCGAATAGAAGATTACAATATATACTGAAAATTAAGTGTACATATTATAGTTCCAAACAAATAGAAAGTAATTTGAAGAAGATCACTTTATGCATACCTGGAAATCTGATAAAACTTGGTTTCATATCTAACAGCATTTGAAAAAGATCATTTCGGAAACCATGTCCCTGCGACAAGTCAAGGACGAATATCTCATTAATAAGGTCAGGGAGAAAAATAAAGTATTACTAAAATTGACATCAGATACCGAAATTTATTGACATCACATATCTTCATTTCCAATACTATATTTCTAAATACGGGTTATGTAACGAATTTTCATAAATGTTATCGCAAACTCAGAATGTAGGCTAAAATGAAGTTGGTCCAACCATATCGGACACTTGGTCCAACCTTATATGTGTCCACTGGCATAGCAGACACTTGGTCCAACCATATTACACCCTTTGCAGTTGTCGTTAATTGAAGTCTCGAGTTTCGACTCGTTGCCTTGGCCTCCAATACAGCCTCAACCTTAGTCCAGTTTGAAAAATCAGATGCAGAACCCCTGCAAGGTCAAGTATCAGTATCACCAATAGATGGAAAAATAATTTTCGGGGATATAACTTTTATTTGTCAAGCCTCTACAGCACATAAAAATAGAGCTCACGTGATCACGGTTGAAGCGAGGTTTCCCACTCCGTTAGGTCCAGTGAACGAAACTACTAGATTAATTGGTCCAGTTGAACGAGTATAGAAAATAACTTTATATTTCTTCCCTTGCTCAATATTCTGAAAATAGTACTCGCTGAATCAGCCACCAAGGAATAAAAATAACTCGTAATGAAAGTAATCTTATAAGGATCTGATTTAAGATCAAATTGATGCAAGGGTATGAATTAGTCTACCATGCCCCAGAAGCCAGGGTTATAAACGCCAACACCATCAGCAGGGCAGGTATTGTCGCATAACACCTCCAATCGGAGTGCAACCTTGTTACGTTCAAAGATAGACGTACGATCCGTTTCAACATTAATATTCGTTTCATTTCCAATAATTGACCATGGATCAATATTCGAAGGAGTGTTAGGGCCCCCAGCTTCAAATCCTGAAACAAGAATTCTCGATCTTTTAGTTATACCGGATAACAGTAGCATATTTGAACAGCATCTCCTTAAGAAAGTGATGAAAAGACACAACAAGCCTCTCCTTTAATCCATTAGGCACCAAAACACAAATTGGACAAAAAAATTCAAATATCGCGGAAACCTTCCAGTACAAGTTTCGTCATTTAAAATTTTAGAGAATACGAAAAACGACCTCGGTTGCTCACAAGCTCGGCCCACAGTCCACCAGCTCCCGCATGATTGATTTCCTATAGCCAAAATTCAAAAACTTCATCATTTTCTGTTATTTTCATTAAGACGCATTGCCGATTCAAGTACAACAAACAAACATGTCTATAATTAAAGCTAATCACTATTTTTCCATTTCAATTCCTCAAAGTCTGTCCTTAATTTTGTTTCTAAACGCCATTTTCTGAGGAGAATGAATAACTGACTTAAAATGTCATGATTCAATTTTTATCAACTTATTTAAAAATCAATTATTCATGATGATCACGATACTAAGCAATTCTGATCCTGACCTCAAAGAATAATCCAAAAAGAGTATCTGGTATTGGCCTACCAGATGCTTGAGAAGCATCTACAACAAGTGTTGGATTAAGATCAGCATGCACTTTGGCATCAAAGCATTGAACCAAAAGAGAAACCAGTATGAAAAGTTGAAGCACAAAAACACAACATGAACCCATTTCTGTATGTTCACAACATTCAATCTATCTGCACTTGCAACAACAAAACATAATAAAAAAAACAAAAAAAACACAGTTAGTTATATATCAGAAAAACAAAAACATTAGGTTTGTACAAACAAGGAAACATATGTAACAAGTTAAGTATCATTAGAAACTCACATGATATGTGTGTTGTGTATGATATTGGGTGAAAGGGTGAGAGATTTTATAGAGAAAAAAAAGGTTGAATGATAGAAGAGAATCAGAAGAGTGATGTTGGATTTGGATTTGGGTTGAAGGGTTTGTTGGAAATGCGAAGTGAATTGTGAGTGAATGAATGGAAAGAATGATGAAGGGGTTTGTTTTACTTTTAAGATTTTCTTTTGTGTGTGTGTGTGAGAGAAGTGAGTGGGACATAGTTCTGTTTTGTTTTTGCCGTCTGGTTGGTTTGACGCAATCTCAATTGTTGCGTGTCACTCTGACTAAACAAGATAAACTACATTATATATTATATTTTTAATTGAATGAAATCTTAAACATTAACTATTATATTTCCCAAAAAAGTAAGTAATTTTAATCTTAATAAATGATCTAACAAAAAAAAAAGTAAGAAGGTAATACTAATGATTCAGGACTTATAATTTAATAAAAAGAAATATCTTTAGAGTGGTATATAATTTTTAAACTACTATACTTTTAAATTATTTTTTTATGTGACACCAATAACTTCAAAGTTAACTCTTGTTTTTTTTTAAATTTGTTTTTAGTTATATAATATTTAATATATTATTGTTTTAATTGTTTTTATTTATTTATATTAAATGATAAATTGTTAATAAAATAAAAGTATTTATTTTTAAAGAAATTATTAATTAATATAATTTAGTATAACTAAAAGTTCAATTACCTAATTAAAAATATATTAATAGAATATAATTAAATTTTCATCACAATTGAATTAAAACTAACAATTGTTTACATTATCGACGAGATCTTTGGATGTGACTTTCAATTGGACACTAACGAGATATTGTCTTTCGTTAAGGCTTCTATTAGTTTTGTCGGGGTGGCTGAGCAAAAGTCTTTGTCATCATTGAAAAAAAGACAGTTCGGATGTCTTGAAAAAATACTTGATTGATCGCCACCGTATTGAATTTAAGTCTTTGCCTAAACAGTTTTGTTGTGTTGTCGTTGGGGTGAGTGTTAATGTTTGGGTATCAATAGTTCTTTTGTTGGAGTGAATTTTGAGTGAATGATTGTGTTGGGTAAAAAGAAAATTGTTGTTGTGGTGTTTGAAAATTATAGTTTGTTTGAGGTGTAGGTTGTGTGTATGGGTATGCGTTTGTTGGGGTGGTGGTTGGTGGTTGTTGTTGGAACAATGTGTTAAATTGTTAGGGCTGCTGTTGGTAAAATAAAAAAAGGTAAGCTCTTGGTTTTATTGTTGAGTGTTTGACTTGTATTGGTTTTGATTGTTAAAGAAAGATTATGTGGTTGGGTGACTTTTTGTGTTGGAATTTGGATGTAAGTTTGTGGTTGGTGTGTTGAACATTTGAAGAAAATGTTTGTTCACGTAGAATATGGTTGTATATTTATGGGTTGATTGAGGGAGTAAATGACGTATGAATAGTACAAATTATTCATGCATTCCACGTAAAAAAAAATTACGCGCATTCATATAGACGATCTTACTTCAATTGACACATGTTTTACTAACCTTGTTGCAATTGAAACCTCCCTTCAAATTATAGGTGTAAACCTACATGCTATTGGCACGTGTTTTAGAAGGAATGATTACTATTGAAGTTTCTTTCTCAAAATTTTGAGAATGCACGTTACTCCACAAGCCGATCTTTGTCTGATTTCACACAAACATGAATCAATTAAGAATGCATAAAATAATCTATAAAATAGTTGGCAAAATCCTTCATTTGCACATGTCTACTATATAAGACATATTGCTCAAAATTTTATACGGAAAATCAAAGACAAAAGTTTTTGAAAAGAAGTTATAAACATGGATAAGTATCTCTATTTGTCATTGCACCCACAACCCCCCGATTAAGTTTATACATTAAAATTAATTATTTATACAATACATGATATGCTTTAAATCAACCAACATTTAGGCATTACCGCAAAGAAATAAGATTGTCAAATGTACAAGCTTTAAAGTGGATTGACAATAATATAACGGAGAAGTGGACAAGAGCATTTGATGATGTTTGGAAATGATGTCACATGACATCAAACCTTGTTGAATCAATGAACTCGTTCTTTAAAGGAACTCACAACCTACCTATAATAGTGTTGGTGAGGGCAACCTAGTATACGTTAGGAATATTTTTTGCTAATTGAGGTTCACAATGAAATACAGTGTTAGAATCTGACCAATTATTCATTGAAAATTGCATGAATTTAATGAAAGAGAAAACTTGAAAATCAAACACACATCAGGTAACAAGATTTGATTGTTAAAACTATTGTTTTAACGTCTAGAATACACTGGAGCATAATATAGAATGACCAATGGGACATTCCAATGTCAATCTACAAAATTTTTGGTGAGATAGCAAAAAAAAATAGTTTTATCGCATGCCTTGCTTACATGTCATTGCAACCTATTTTATTGCATATGTCTAATATCTACAAGGTCACAAACATATTCAGTATTTTTTGCTTACTAGAGGTGCCCAACAACGAATATTGGTATACTTATCAAGGGGATATAATTTTCCATAATTGAAATATGTGTAAGAACAAGAAAGGTCGCTCAAATAGCACACAAACTATAATCAGAATGTACCCAGATGATAAAGTACATAAAAAAGATTATATCGTCTTACCAGTCGTACATAAAAGAATTGTTCAATTGTTGGAACTAGTTTTAATTAAACATGTCTATTTTGTAATTTTCATTTTGTTGATACATTAATTACAAAATATATATTAATTATAGCCTCTGATTACAATAAAAAAATCAAAAATAAAAATAACACAAAAACATATAACACTGCTTAAACACTTAATACACCGCAATAAGTAATATAATTTCTTATATTCCATTTGCGTCCCATAACATAGCAGCGACATCTATGTCATTTTTAAAGTGCTAATAGTAATATTAGATAATATCATTATCATCTATAATTGATATGTTTGAAATGCATTTTTCAATTCTTCTTACATTTGTGAGGGCAAATCCTCATATACCATACGTACTTGTGTTTCGATGATGTCAAAACGCAATCATGGAAGAATCGGTTTTTCGGCTCTACCACCATAAGGCAAATGCATATCACACCTCTCATATCTCTCTTGTGTGCATGTCATGTCTATCAAACTTGCCATATTGAGTCCAATATGTTTGGTAGATCATTGGTTATGTCTAAAAGCATAGAATCCACAAAAATAAGCATTTCTGCAAAACTACAGGTTTTGAGTCGACCAGAGGTCGACACACGGTAGGCGCATGGGAAAGTGTAAATTCCCACGGGTCGGTGCACGCTGACCTATGGTCGACACATGCTATTAAGATTTTAAATTTGTCTAAAACTTCAGGCTATGCGTCGACGCATAGTCCTGCTATGGTCGACCGTTCGCTTCATTTTCTGCATACATTGAAGACTTTCCACTTAGTTTGAAAAGTGGTTATGTCTGTTGGTTTTTGGGTTACTATAAATAGAAGTTTTGTTCATTTCTTCAACAACAATTGAAACATTGAGTCAATTGCATAAAAACAAGAAAAGTGAAATAGGTGCCCTAGTTCTCATCATCTTCATCTTCAACATTTCATAACACAACAATTACACACAACAATTCTTGTTGTGCATTGTGGTTTGTTCAAGGTGATAACGTCCAAATTCGTCGATGGGGAATCCGGTTCGGGTTGAGTTTGTGGCAGGTTTTTCTTGAATAAAACCTTGAAGGTTTTGTCCTCCAAGATTCGTCGAATTTGGGTTTTTTTTGGTACAAATTATCTCTACAACATTCAGTTGAGCGAAGGTGATTGAGGAACGGTGAATTCTGTCAATCTAGTAGCGGCAATCGGTGAATTGCATAGGAGAGATTCAGGTTCAATTTGTGTGTGTTTGAGATCAGTTGGGCTGGGGTTTGAAGAATGCAAGGTTATTCAACAAAGGGGCTGTAATCTGAGGTCTATCCACAACAACCAAAGGACTTGATTCGACTCGAATCAAGGAACAAGGAGAGAAAACATCATTAACAACCAGAGAGTTTGTTTGTATATTTTGCTTGTCCATCCTTGTATAAATGTTTCAACTACAACAAGTGATATCTATATTATATCGGGCTCAATTCTATTATTAGAATTGAGGAAAGACGTACCCCGAAGCGAAGACGGTGGGGGAACTGCCTCAACAAATCTTTGTCTCCTTTATTTTTCAGCACTTTCATTTTTGCTTGCTAATTGAGTAATTTTAGTATAAGCAATTTTATCAAAGTTAGCACTGGTTTGAGTAAGTGCTTAACACTGTTTTTAACTCTAGCACAATAGTGTATTGTACAAGGAAGTTAGAGTTACTTACTCAAGGCAAAACTCACTTGGAGCGCTATGCACGCCAAGTGTTTGTTAAATTGTCTACACCAAAATTCACTTGTATTGTTTACATATTTTGTTGGCATTGTGTAGCATTGGAACTAGTTTTACTAATTAGTGATATTAATCAATTGACAGTGTGACTAGTGTGGTGATTTTCTTTGCTCATTATCATATCCATAAGGCTAGACGTATATCCGGTCTTCTAACAATGATTCGTTATAGACGGTATTTTTCCACAGCCGCTTCCGCAATTTAAACAAATTTTTAAAACCAATTTTTAATTGGTAGCGCCGACTAATTTTTTAATTGGGATCTATTCAACCCCCCCCCCCCCCCTTCTAGATTTGTGCCATCGTCTAACAACATTTCCTACCTTCTCTTTCATATGTTGTTTTAACCAACATGCCTCAAACTGCTTGAATTTTTAATCCACCTCAAAGTGAATCTTCAGTAGAGGCTT